TGTTAACATAAAGCTTGACAAGGATGAGACTGACACTCCAGTTGATGAATCCATGTATCGTGGGATGATAGGGTCTCTCTTATACCTCATGCCTAGCCGACCAAATATACAATTCAGTGTATGCCTCTGTGCCCGCTTTCAATCCTGTCCCAAAGAGAGTCACTTATCAGCTGTCAAAAGGATTTTTCGTTATTTGAAAGGCACGCTTGATGTCGGCCTATGGTATTCAAAGCATCACAACTTTGATTTAGTAGGCTACAACGACTCTGATTTTGCTGGTAGCTTAACAGACCTCCACAGTACTACTGGTAGTTGTCAGTTTGTTGGCACTTCCTTAGTTTCCTGGTCCTGTAAAAAACAGGGGGCAATTGCCTTATCTACTGCTGAGGCATAATACATTGCTGTCGGAAGTACTTGCACTCAATTACTTTGGCTATCATACCAGTTATCAAACTATGGTCTATGGTCATTCTTGCTCATCTATACCATTACTTTGTGACAATACGAGTGCCATCTGCATGTCGAAAAATCCAGTTCAACATTCACGAACCAAGCATATTGAGGTTAAGTATCACTTTATTCATGATTTGGTTCAATCTGGGGTCATTACTCTCCAATATATCAGCACTGAATTTCAGCTCGCTGATTTATTCACTAAACCTTTGCCAGCTGATCGATTTACTTTCCTATGTTACGACATAGGATTGCGCTCTCTGTCCACTCTGTCTGAGTAAGCGGATTCGAGTAATCGATTCCTTCATGTTGTATTATTATTTTTCTTTCTGGTTTTTGTTTGTTTCCTTGTGTGTTTTCTTTTCCCGCTTTTTGTGTTGTTTGATTTTTCTTGCCTTTTCTCTTCTGGGTTCTTTCCTTTTGTTTCTCTAGGTCTAGCCTTTTTAAGTGCCTCCCTCTCGTGTCCTTTCCTCTCATCCACCCCTTCAGATTCTTCTATTTTCCATCTCCCTGCGACAATGGCTTATGCTTTTGCTTTCACCTTCTCTGGAACTCTCTTCCATGAGCCAATTCCCATCAACTACCACCGCCACACTCAGTCCTTTGCCTCTCGTCAAATTTCCCCCTCCCGGGACATTCCTTTACCTGACTTCATTGACCTCGTTCTTGATTTCCGCCACCTTGTCAACAACCTTGGTTGGGGATTCTTGCTAGATGATGCACCCACTTTGGTGCGTCCTGCTGCAGTGCGGTTGTTCTTCTCCAACCTGCGACATTTTGGTCTTCACTCTCGCACTCTGACGTCGCTCGTGGCTGGACATCTCATGACTCTCCCTGCAGCTGATATCGGTAACCTTCTTCACTTTCCGGCTCTCGGAGAAAATCTGGCTGATGTCTCTGAATTCGGTCAGTTCAACTTCAACCTTGACGAAGAAGCGGAACACCTCTCAGGCTTCCTTCCAGGACCAGATGGTACCATCCCTTCTTCTATGTTGGTGCCCACTCTACAGGTCTTTCATTATTTTGTCACTCGAGTGTTTATGCCTCGCTTGAATATGCTTGATCGGATCACCCCTCTGGATGTTTGGATTATGAATCATTCGATTTTTGTTGTTCCTCTTGATTACTCTCAACTGTTTTTTGGAGCTCTCATCCCTTTTTCAATCACAATCATCTTGCTCCTCTTCCTTTTGCGGCTAGCATTACTCAGCTCCTGTTGGCCTTGCCTATCTCCCTCTCCTTGTTTTGCACTGCGTCTCCCACTCTGTGGCTCACTGCTGATGACGTACTTGATGAACTGGAGATTGCGATTGGGGGAGAGGAACCTCCTGTCAACATGATCTAGATATGCGACTCTGATTCTGATTCAGACTCTGATCCTGGTGACGATGCTGGCGGCGCAGAGCTGAAGTCTGACTCTGATTCTGATTTGATCCTGGTGACAATGCTGGTAATGGAGTGCTGGAGCCGTTTGCAGCTACCCTTCAAGAACTATATGGATCCGATCTGATTCTGCATCCAGCAACCGCTCGATCTCCGACTTTGTTGCGGCTATTGAGGAAGGACTTGAAGATCTCTTTTAATTTCGGTTGTTGTTAGTTTCTCAGGGGGAGATTAGTTTGGTTTGAGAGTTTTTGTTTTTAACAGTCGGTCTGTTTTTTTTTTTTTTGTCTGGATTTTTTTTTAGCTGTTGTGTCAGGATTTGTGGCATTTGGTTTAGTTTCCTTCAGTTTTATTTGGACTGTTTCTCTGCTATCTTTGTCCCAGTGGTACTGTGTTTTAAGTTTCCTTGCAAGTACTTCTCATCGGCAATCTCAATCTCCAACTTAGGGGGAGATTGTTAACAGGAGCAACGCTGAATTTGAAGATTGATTGTCGCTGACCGTTGAGAAATTGAAGGATTCAGAAATGGAAGCTTGGCGAGCACTTTCCTTCTTTTGATTTCAACGGCTCCTTCTGGTCCTATATAAACTGTCTTCTTTCTCTTGATTAATCACACAGAATAATAGCGGTATAGGTCTATTGGAAAGATTCTGAGGGGCTCGGCATCAGAGGAAGAGGTTCTGATCACTGGAGGTTGTAATCAGGTCTGGGATTGGATCTGGGAATTAGCTTGTGTCTTGCTTGTATTTGCTTTTCATTTTTATAGGTGAAAAAGAAATAAAAAAAAAGTCTCTCGGAGCTTAGCAGGTGCTATCTCCGAGACGAGGACTGACCCGTAGGTTGGGGAACCTCGTTAAAATTCCCTGTGCATTTTCGTTTCAGTTCTGTTCCTCTTTTCTACTTCTGCTCTGCTTCCATTCTTGCTTTGTTTTCATTCGTTTGTTCTGGGAAGAAGAAGCCTCTAAAGGTTAAGGAGAATTCCTTTTGGTTGGGCTTCGAATTGCAAGCCCAACTGACCCGTTCTGGGAAGAAGAAGCCTCTAAAGCTTGAGTTTATGTAATATAGGGTCGCTTAACTCGTTTGGATTTAGATTAATGAATCTGATATTTTAGATTTAGATTAAGCACTAGGGTTGACCCGTTTGAGGGATCGGTTAGCTTGCTAACCCCATAAAGGGGTTGGAAAAATGACACCCTTGGTATTAAATGTAATCTATATATGTTAATACTCATATTAAATACACATAGGAAATTAAATGCATCATATTAATTACTTGTCTTTATTAATTTAAACTTACATTAAATTAGGGCTGGGTTAATAGACCTGACCGTTAGAAAAACTGTGGTCCAAACCGTACCGCACAGTTTGGCTGGACCGTAGACTGTTAGGTATGGTTTGGTCTGGTCCATGGTCTGTATTATTTTATGTTTTGATCTCTTGGTCTGGTCTGGTCTAGACCGCGGTTTACCGGACCAAACCGTGGACCCAATTGATATTCGACCACTCTCCCAACTCCCACAACGACACCCAAGTCTCAACTTTAGTTTTGTGAATCTCGTCCATCGTTCATTCACAACCACATTTAACCAGAGAGTAAGGAGAATCATGCCTCCATATGACATTATGTTAATGTTTATGACGTTATGATGCAAATTGAGATGCTTTTACTTTGTATCTTTGTTATGTACTAAGATTTAGAGTATCAAAATTATTCATGCGTGTTAGGATTAATGTTTTAAGGAAAATAACAATTATTTTTCTTGGTTATTGGTTGAATTTTTTGTGTGGTTGACTAAACATATTATTCATTTCTCGTTGAGTGTGGTCTATCTGGACCAGACCGAACCAGACCACACAGGCGTGGTCTGGACCGGACCGTATAGTCTGTGGTCTGGTCTGCGGTCTATACTTTAGCCTCTCGGTCTGGATCATAGACCGTATATATGGTCTGGTCTGGACCAGACCGCATCGTTTCTCAGTCCTACATTAAATACAATTCTCTCTCCCTATCTCTCATTCTTCCTTTTTCCAGCAGCCTCCGACTGCCACACTTGCTAACCCCATAAAGGGGTTGGAAAAATGACACCCCCTTGGTATTAAATGTAATCTATATATTTTAACACTCATATTAAATACACATAGGAAATTAAATGCATCATATTAATTACTTGTCTTTTTTAATTTAAACCTACATTAAATACAATTCTCTCTCCCCATCTCTCATTCTTCCTTTTTCCAGCACCATTCGACTGCCACACTTCTCCGGTGAAATATCGCTGGCAGACTTCCTCCGGCCACCCATAAAAATGTACCGTTACATTAAAAAAAATGTACCAGTGCAGTGATACGTTGTACCACTGCACTGATATTTCTACCACTACATTTAAATTCAGATATGATATTTGTACCAGACTACCAGTGCATTGATATCGTTACCAGTGTAGTGGTATCTCTACCAGTGCATTGGTAACGCTACCAGTGCACTGGTACAAAATATCATATATGAGTTTAAATACAGTGGTAAAAATATCAGTGCAGTGGTACAAAAATCATAACTGAAAAATCGAAAAGTCAGATTTGAAAAATCAGAAATCGAAAAATCATAACGGCGGGAGCATATGATGAGAGGGAGGAGAGAAGAGGGATTATTTGCTTTTCTGGAGAGAGAATTGTGTTTAATATAGGTTTAGATTTCAAAAAAACAAGTAATTAATATGGGTATTTAATTTCCAATGAGTATTTAATGTGAGTGTTAAATTCTACAACTTTCATTAATACTTACCAAATGATTAACGAAAAATGGACCAATAAAAAAGAGGGTGTCAAACCCACCCCCCCCCCCCCCCCCCCCCCCCCCCACCCCCACCCCCACTCCGGTTTGAGGTTAGGGTGTAGCATCATGTGTTGGGATGAATAGCTTTGAAAAGCTATAAATGAAATTCCTAATTAACTATCAGTATTTTTCCATAATACGAAAAAGATGGATAATTAATAAAAAGAATATTATGGAGATAATTAGGATTAATTATCTTAATAGGTTATATTTTAATTATGTGAGTAATTATCTCCCTAATTAAAATGTGACTTATTCCCAAAGAAAAAGGGAATATTCCGGGTTTTCTGCTCCTATAAATAGCAGACCCCCCAAACCCTCTAAACACACCTTAGAAGAGCAGAAACACGAGAGAGAGTGAGTTCATAGAGCTCCGGTTTTCGCACAAAACCGATGAGCAATAAATCAGAATGGTTGTTTTATCCTGGAGGCGACCGACTGATAGTCTACGGTGCAAATTACGAGGCAATGCCGTGAACGTCTTAAAGAGAGCGACCTAGTCCGCGACTCAACCAGATTCGGAAACCCTAATTTTTCTGTTCGATTTATAACAATTTTAAGACGTTGTGCTACTGTCATATGCACCGAACAGATTGATTACTGTATCTGGACCCAATCGTTGTCAATTACTGTCGATCGGTTTGCCTCTCGATTCGATGCCCTTTGGATCGCTTTCTCGGATGGCTCATTCGATTGGTTCTTCTCTCGACTCCGATTAACTATCTCCGGAGGGAATAATTCAGACCGTAAAAAACAGTCGCTGCCTCGAACCCATCTCGCAAGCCTCAGCTACTACCAATACTAAAATGTCATTGCGGCGAGATTGAGGACTTCTCTCTTCTTATTATTCAATTTTATTCTTCTGTTATTTGAATACTTATCCTGCTGGTGGTGTTTGCGAGAAGAAGAACACGGGAATAGTCACATGTCACCGGTTATACTGGGGCTTTAGTGTAGCGGCTGCCTACCTTAAAATTACTTTCCCTCGGACAGACCTGTGTGAGACCAAACAAAAAGGAAGAAGGCTCGGGGAAAGATTCTGCTACTCCGGGTTTATGCCGCTGTGAAGAAGCTAACAGCTTCTGTTCTCAAACCCTAAACCTATTTCCCTATGTTTTTGTTCTCGAAACAGAGGAGGAGGAGCAATGAACAATGGTGTGAAGAGGCTTAGAGGATTGAGTTTGAATGAGAAGACAGAAGCCATTGGTAGAGAAAGGGCAGCTTTCACCTCAGAAATGCCTCACTTAATGGTTGTTGTCCACCCTTCCTACATCCATCCTGGCTCCACTAAGTCAATACCAATGAGCTTTGCCAGGGAACATTTGAAGGCCAGAGATGGTGATGCAATCCTCAGCAGGGAGTAAAATGCGGCAGGAGGTGTGATGCTATGGGCTGGGAGGCTAAGGATGTTGTTACTACTGGCCGGTGGAATAATTGGAAGTGGAACAGAGCAATCCACAATTTAAAGATGTCCCTCCCAGCTTGGGGTTGTTTGTGAACGACTTGGGCTATTGCGACCAATCAAGGCCCAATTCGTATTTCATGGCCTATTGATCAAATGTATGCTAGCATTTTGCAACAAAAGAAAGGAGATGAGGAAGCTATGTATATGGTGCTAGCTATTCGTGCAAATTGAGAATGCATCGACTCATCGAAAAGAGGTAAAAATCAAAACCTTCTTTATGAATCATTATGATGAATGATAAGCTAGAATCTATTTCATGAGTTCTATGCATGGTATTGAGAAACCCATATGAATGCGAGAAAGTAAAACTAGAATTGATGCATGTATATGTCGACATTGAGATGTATTACCTTGATGATTAGCATAAATAGAATATATGTTGTGGAATAGAATAATTTTGTTTACATGGGTGCAAATGAAGAATATATTGGAATAGAATGAGTTTATTGACCATAATAACGATATTGTAAGAAGTACTATTATCAGTACTACACGAACCACTTAGGTTGCTCTGAAACATTAAAGTTTCAAGAATGAGAGCAACAAATCAAACCATCCACACCAATTAGAATGGTACCCTTCATGGTAACCAAATGATCGTGCCAATCCTCTACGAATGATGTTTTACTTCTCTGCTATAGATGCGATAAATTAGGTCATATGACACGAAAGTATAAGAACAAGGCTAATACTAGTTCAAGTGTTAACTTGATTGAAAATGAGGATTGGTGGTTGTGATGATTGTGAAAAGAGCAGAGGTTAACCTTGCTGGTAACTCTGAAAAATGGTCGTTGGTTAGTGGTTAAGAAAGTATTGTCACTGCTGAATCTACTGGTCATGCATACGATGATATGTTTTAAAAGTTAATATGATGAATCCCTACGAGTATTTCATGCATTATTGAATAATTGAATAGCTAAGATCACATTATTTTGACATGGTTATACATGATGAGTTGCTTACTTGGAATGATTTGAAATGCTTTCTAGCATAGTTGTTGATTGCTCTAATTACTTGGCTATCTAATGTTAGAATTAGAGAATCAGTGCAATATGATTAAAAGTAAGCATATGATTGTGTGTTTATTGGATATGTTACAGAAAAACACGTAGACCTCATAACTTGAGTACTCAGTTTATTATAGAATCCATTAATGCCAATAGACTTTCATTTAAAATCAAGAAATAGTAGGGGTTGTTTTTAACCTACTATTAGAAATAATGGAACTAGTGGGAGTGATGAATATGAGTATAAACTCATAAGAGACAAGTGAACCATAAATCACTCAAGGATTTTGGTTATGAATTTTTTATTTACACCCTAAGAAAGATCTTACAAGTCTGCTAGAAGTTCGAACTTCCAAAAAGATGCAGATTTGTAGGAGAATCCATTATTAACGAAATGGAATTTGTGGAATCTAGTAAGACTTAGAATATTGTAGAGTTGCCTCTTGGTTATAAAGCCTTGGGTAATATATCGGTGAAACCGAACAAGATTTGGTATCTTTGATAATTACCTCCTGATAATGAAGCCAAGGTAATAAATGGATTCCTAAAAGGAAAAACTGAAACATGATGGTTTAGTTTATGAGTATAATGATCGCCTAGTATCTAAGGCTTTAGGTGAAGAGGAAAAACTGTAGATTTCTTTTATATATATTCACCAATATGTAGAATAACATCCATCACCTGGATGTTAAAATACTTTTTGAATGGTGATTTGAATAAAGAAGTCTACATTGGGACAATCTTAAAGGTTGTTATTCTAGAACATACTTCTGGAGTCTATGGTTAGACAAATCACTATATGATTTGAAATAGACTCAGAATTAGTGTTGTAGACACCACATTTTGTCCGGAACGACCATTCTACTCAAAACCCGAAAGACAATCCAACTTAAGAAGAAAACTTAAGTGAAAATTCGGACGAGGTGGGTTGAGATTAGCAGTGGCCGATCAATAAATACCGCCGATTTTCAAGTCCGTTTTGTTTGGTTTGAACATTTGCGTTTGGTAAGACTAGCAGTAGCTAATGCAAACTCACTTTATTTAGAATAGCAAATGTCTGGTAAGACTAGCAGTAGCTAATGGATACCAAACTCACTTTATTTAGAATAACAATAGTATGCCGTCACGACTATACTAGTATTACTATTAATGATTAGTGACATAGGTTTGAAATAGGTCAAATGAGATAAGAAGGCCATAGTAATCCTACTAATATTGGTCAATATTGGTCAAAATGCATAATTGTGAACTACTTATTTAAGAAGTTGGGTTGTGGGTCACGATCGGGAGAAAGAATAAACAAACTAGGTGGAAGCAAATCAATTGAATAGTTGGCCATACAATAATTACATGACTATTCCAATTATAAGTTGCAAAAATAATTACAGTATAATTACAAAATAATTACAAAATACGAATGTACAACTAATGATTATTACATTTTTGCAAAGAGCTAAAGATGAATAATAAGAGGAGATTTCTTTCGTTTGGGCACCAATCAGAGTTGGAGGCCTTGCCAATTAAGGCTGTTTGGGCCCCCATTGATCATCATTTTGGGCCAGAAACGGACTAGGGACCTGCAAACAAAAAAAAGGAAAATGTTAGAAGAGCAACCCAAAATAAAAAACCCACAACCCAGGCCCATATTCCGGCCCAATTGACTCTGGTCAACTTGGTCGACCCGGGTCAACCCAATCAAGTATGGTCAGCCCGGGCCAACTCTGGTCGACCCCGTCAACCAAACCCATCATCCTTATCTAAAGGAGCAGCAGAGTAGCAGAGCAGCAGAACAGCAGAGCAGCAGAGTTTCTGCCAAATCTCAAAAAGAAGATTTCGGCCACCTCCTCCAAGAACCAATCCCAAATTGTCAACAACATAAGTGGCTCAGGCCACCACTTCAAGAACAAAGGAGGAACAGCCAACACACAGGTATGAATAGTAAAAGGCAGCAATATATAAGGAGCTGTCTTACCCCAAATAAGAGGGAGGGAGGAAGAACCAACAACAAAAACACACAAAAAGGGAGACAAAGAGCATTAAAAAGCACTAAGCACCAAAAAGACAGAAGCACTAAGGATCCAAAAAGGGCAGGGAGTCAGAAGCAGCAACGAGCCATCACCATCAAAATCCACTAAATCACAACACAGGTTGGTATTCTCTACACCCCATTAACCGTACAAGCATTCTAGTCATTCATACATCCATGTAGAAGATCAACTTAACATATGATACTTCTAAGTTTATAATCCATGGTTAAATTGCTTAAGTTTGCATGTAAAAGGGGGTATTATGAAATCCTGATCTTTGTGATATGTATGTTTCTCTTTACCATTCATTTTTAATTTTTGTTACATGCCACAAGAGACCGCTTCCATTTATAGTCAACATACAATAAATTAGCTTAAATTATTCTCAGTTTTTTCTAGCAAGCATGATTCAGGTTAAATTGCTAGGTGAACTTAGCAATAATATCGACTAGGCTAATCCGTTTACTCATTCAACACATCAAAAAATCCAGCAATCTACTCAAAACACAAAATAGGATTCAAACCAGATCTTTGAGAGAGTATTTTAAAATACCTCATTTTATGTTTAAGGGCGCCCCTTTTCTTTACTCAATTACCAGATTTGGTAATCACAAAGTTCTCATTTAGTTGTCATTTGTATGCTGAATACAATAAAAGCCCTGCCTTCATTAAGAATTCCATTTATTACCAATTAACATTAGCCTTTTAATCAATTATTTAACCACTTAAGAGAAGCTTCCCATCAAGCTGATGGTCATGAGCAGTAGCCATGCCCAACAAAGGAAGTAATTTTCAAAGCATCCCAATAGAACTGTTTTAAGCTAAATAAATAAATCATAGGTTCTTAGCAGCCAATCAAAAAAAAGATCTAGATTGAGAGGGATATCACCTAGTCTCTTCAAATTGAATAGATCTGCAAAAAATTAAGAAATTAAGAATCAGAACCCTAAATAATGATAATAAATAAAAAGTAAAAAGCAGAATAGCAAAAAAGGTTAAAATAAAGGACTTACCCCAAACAAAACCCTCGCCGTCGGCTCTGGCGCTGGCCGCGCCGCCGACGACCGCCGCCTTCCCCTTCCTTCCCTCGGTGGGAGTCCGAAATCAAGAACAAAAAAAAAACAAAAGAAGTCAAACCCCAATCTTGTTTGTTAAATCGAATAAAAAAGACATGCATGTAAAATGGAGCTTACCAGAGGGTAAAACCTCCTCGTCGTCACCTCTGTTCCAACTAGAAAGGGTAGATCGAGATTATCATAAGGTAAATCGAGACCCCCCTCCTCGGTTTTAGATCGATCTCCGAAAGAAAAAAAGAGGGAAAGGTTAGAATCTCGCAAAAAAAAAAAACCCAGAAATAAAAAATAAACTTGCATGTAACGATCTTACCTAGATCGAAAGTCTCCCGCTCGATTTTTGGCGACTCACGCCATATCGAGGAGACAAAAGGTCGGCGGCTAGAGGAGAAACTCCGAGGAGTTTCCTCACTCGGGTCGTTTTGCCGGCGGCGGTTTCGATTGGGGCTAGGGTTGGGTTCTCTGGGCGAGAGAGAGACGAGGGATGAGAGAAGAGGGATGCGGCGATTTTGGATCAGGGTTAGGGTTTAGTTTTGTTTCTCTGGAGAGGTGGAGAAGGATCGAGATCGAGGGAGAGAGGGAGAGAGCGGCGGCCATGGGGTCGTTTAGGGTTAGGAAGTTAGCTTAGGGTTTCCAAAAAATGAATTTATACCCCTTTCATTAAAACGACGATCTTGCCCCTAGGGTTTATCGTTAATTACGCGGCCGTGCCACCGTGTTTTCGAGCAATTACTAGAATGCCCTTCCCCCATCCCCACACTAAAACGAAAAAAAATCAAAAAATTGCACTCAGTTCGTTTCGAACCCGCGGTCTCTGGGTCAGAGGAGGCTAGCGGTTTGACCAGTTGGGCTGCCGACAATCATATGTTAAATTAACCATCCCGCTTAAGTTTATTTGTTTATAGTTCTTAATACGAAATGGTAAATGCGGATTAAGTTTATCTCGTTTCTTTTCCAATACGAGTCAAGCCTCTTCCTAATAACTTAAATTATTAAATTCTCTTTTCATAATTTCATAATAATCAAATTAAATTTTATTAACATAAATTATAATACGAAAATCACGATCAGTGGAACGTGATGAAAATGTCACAATTAAACTATCAAAGTTCAAATGAACTACGTGGACTTTGATCCCGTCTAACGGGTACGTAGGCAACCGGTAAGGTTCGAGTCCAACTAACCAATTAATTATATCTTTTACGTCAGTGGACGTATAATTTAATTACAACTAACACGATTTAGTTTCTTCAATGGTCCAGTGGGACCCTCAAATTACAAAATCATTACTAAAATACACCCAACTCGCATAAAAACTTATCGACTT